GAAGTTTTAAACTATTAAGGAGATGTGGAGAGAACTGTAATTCAGTGGAATCCTTGGATGGGTGGCCCACTGGCATGGGCAGCCTCATCAGTGGCAGAGGCTTTTTGACACAAAATCATTTTGCAAACATTGGTTTATGATGGATTTTTGCTTTGCCTGATGGGATTTGATAAGGATTTTGTTAGGAGAAGGATGCAAACTCACTGCATCAGGAAGGGTGACTGAAATGAAGAAGCAAATTGCCAAACTCTGATGCATTCCCCTTAAATTTAAATCCAATATTTGAAGCTTTGATTGAATTTTAATTCAAAACTTGAATCAATAGCAAGCAGGTTTGAGATACTCAAAAGAAGGACTCTCTAAGAGTTCAGGCCTGGTGTTTTTTTTCCTGTAATTAGGATGAAGAAGCAGCTTCCCTGGCATTTATTGATCATCCTCAAACTCAACAAATGTCTGGAGCTGCATTTTTGTGCGTCCCTGCTACTCTATGGCACCATCAAAACAGGGCAGGTGTTTGTGAATTGTAGCTCATTTGTTGATGCAAATGTCAGGGCTTTGATGGAGTTTTTAGGATAAATTTATGCAGAATGGGAAGTGATGGAGTTTTTAGGATAAATTTATGGGAATGGGAAGTAAATGAGGAAGGTGGTCACACCTCTGGTGGGGTGGGTATCAACCCCTCCAAGGGAACCACCTGCAGGAAGTGATTCCAGTGTGTGGCAAGAACATTTCTCTCCCTCTCAGGATTTTTCATAGAGGTGCACAGAGAGAAATGAAAGAGAAAACAATTTCTATTTCTGCTCTTTGTTTTTCCTATGTGGAATGTGTTTGGAGAATTGTTTACCTGGGGTGATTGCTGGGTTGGATTCTGGTGAGGATTGTTTGAGCCTGATGGCCAATCCAATCCAATCCAATCCAATCCAATCCAATCCAACCCAATCCAATCCAATCCAATCCAATCCAATCCAATCCAATCCAATCCAATCCAATCCAACCCAACCCAATCCAATCCAATCCAATCCAATCCAATCCAATCCAATCCAATCCAATCCAACCCAACCCAATCCAATCCAATCCAATCCAATCCAATCCAATCCAATCCAATCCAATCCAACCCACCTGTGTCTGGGCTCTCAGAGAGGGTCACGAGTTGTGTGAGAGTCAGAGAAAGCAGTATGTAGTTTTAGTATCCTCCTTTTATATAGTATATTAATGTATTTTAGCATAGTTATAATAAAGAAATCATTCAGCTTTCTGAATTGAGTCAGACATCAGCACTTCTTCCCATTGGGTTCGCCTGCATTTACAATACCAGTGGGTTAGTACATTCAGAAATTCAGATTTTATGGGTTAGAATTCCTCTGATTGGGGCAGTCTGGGGTCCTCTGACAGTAGTTTTTAGTGTTTGAAGGCAGCGTGGGGTTCCCTCCTCGCCCAGCGTGGGAGGAAGATCGTGAGGAAAACCTCCTGCGGCATCTGGGTGGGTTCTTCAGTTCCACAGGAGTGTGAAGAACTCAACAGCATTTCCAAACGTGCAGCAGTGGCTTGGCTGGAAATGGTGGGAATGGCCCCGTTTTGGGGTCTGAGGGAAATAGGGGGAAGAATTGCAATGCAATTTCCTGCTGCTGGTTCTATTTCCATCGCACCTAGCTCAATTAACACTTGGTTAATCTGAAAATGATCAAGAGACCCCTTTCTTGGAGGAACTGGGACATCTCCGTGATTAATACAGGTTTAAAAAAATCCAATTGCAGGATGTGTGAGGCCACGTTCGATTTGCCAGCCGAATATGTTATTTTTGCCTTGATTCTCAGAAATATTTGAGGGGAAAAGAAAAAAATTGGTGAGGACTTCCATGCTGTAGCCTAATGGAAATCCCCTGTTAAATCAGATGCAGAGGGGATTATTGTTAATATTTTGACATTGGTGTGGTGGGTTTATATTGTTAAAGCAGAGTGAAGGAAATGGAAAAACCTGTGGAGGGGAGATCCATCAGAGATAGAGCTCTGATGGGAAGGATTCAGTTCTCCATAATTCTGAAAGGAAAATCAGGGTTTGCTGTCTGGACTTTTCTGGAAAACACAAATTGTTTTCTGGGACAACATGGAGCATGGAAATGCTTTGCTACAGATTTTTTTCTTTTAAACTGTGTTGGTTCTCAAGATTTCTCTGCCTTTTTTATTTCTCTGTTCATCATTATGGATATGAATTGAATTCTAGGATGTCAGGCCAATGTCCAGTGGAGTTTCTGGGGGCGTTAGGAGCAACAGAACATAGAAATATTTGAATTATTTACTGTAGTGTGAAAGCTGCTTAATGCAAATTTAAATAAAATTACAATCTTCCCGTTTGCTGTATTTGGCAGTCCGGTGTGGTAAACTTACAAATGTTGCCTGTATGGTTTTCTTTCTTTGGGAAAACTCCAGAGGTTGGCAGGAGATATTTTATCTCATAAAAAAATCGGGGTTTTTTCTACCCAATGCCAAAATTATGAGATATTTTGGTACAGAATTATAGGTATTGCAGAAGAAGGGGAGAATGAAGGTGGAGATGATGCAGGAGCTGATCAGAATTCTTCCAATTTTTCATAAATCATGGAATAGTTTGGGTTGGAAAGATTGGAAATCCCAGGTGCTCCAACCCAATGTCCAGCCTGGCCTTGGGCACTGCCAGGGATCCAGGGGAAGTGTCCAGCCAGCAGCAGCATCACTAAACCACGTCCTGAAGTGCCACGTCCTGATGCTTTTGGAACACTTCCAGGGATGGTGACTCCACCACGTCCCCTGTCAGCCTGCTCCAATGCTTGGAAACCCTTTCTGTGAGGGAATTTCTCCTCCTGTCCAGCCTAAAGAACAGAATTAGTATCTGGACAGAGGAGTGTGCACTGTACATCTGTCAGTGACCTTCATCCTGGAGCATCCCAACCCTGTTGCATATGGATGTGGATGGATGTCCTGCAGCCTCATTCTTTTGCAAAAATAAAACCTCTGAATATTGCTGCCCGATGCATATGATAAACAAGGCTGCAAATAGGAGTTGCAGTCACTCAGGGTTTCATCTATAAAGCTTAGTTTGACTTGGAGAGAGCTCAGAGGGTTATTGATAGTTCTCTGCTGCTCCCTGCATCCTGGGTTTTGTTCTGATGGAAAAGTCGTGGAGCACATGGTGTGAGGTTCAGTGCATCTGGTTCAGGGCTGTCAAACCAATAAACATGAAGAATGTGTGCTGCTTTGCCACAGATGTAAACTTCCACTGCTTGTTTGCTGACTTCTGCAATGAGGTGCTGCTCCAAAGAAGTTCTCCCATGTGCTCCAGGAAGGAGAAGGAACACGGGAAAAGTTGGTTGGAAGGGAGTTTCTTTGTGATGCCACCAAACATTTGATTATTCAGCAACTGGGGTTGCAGTCAAAGTAAATAAACCACAGGGAACCTGCAGTTCCTGGGCTTCTCCAGGATGAGTGAGGTTGCTCTGGTTGCTGTATGTCTGTCGTGGAGGAATTGTGTAAGAGCTTCCCAAAATTCAGGGCTTTAGGTTTACTTTTGCTCTAGTTATGAAAACTGTCAGCTTGATGATTTTTCAGCTCTCTCACGCTGATTATATTACTCACAGATGTGACTTCATTCCACAGCACTTAATAATGGGGTTTGAAATGATTCTCTTATTGGGAAAACAACTAATTATTGTCCAGCTGTGAGCAGTGGGCAGCTGTAAGTCACCCTGCATGGACCGTCCTGGCTCCTGCTGCACCCCTGGTGTGTCATTCATGGAATCCCAGAATGGTTTGGCTTGGAAGGGATCTTAAATCTCATTTCATCCCATCCCCTGCCACGGGCAGGGACACCTTCCACTGCTCCAGGTTGCTCCAAGCCCCATCCAACCCTGAACACAGGGAAGTAAATAAAACAAATCCAAGAAATTTGTTGTTCTCTCAGTGTTGCAGGAAACCTCATGAAGTACAAAATGTCAAATGCAGGGTCCTGCCCCTGGAGGGACAGGACACAGGGAATGGCTTCCCAGAGGGCAGGGATGGATGGGATTTTGGGAAGGAACTGTTCCCTCCATCCCTGGAAGTGTTCAAGGCCAGGCTGGACACTGGGGCTTGGAGCAGCCTGGGACAGTGGGAGGTGTGGAAATCAGTGGTTTGTAAGGTCCCTTCCATCCCAAACAGTTGTAGGAGCCTTTTATTCTGTGTTTGCTGATGGAGTTACCTTGTGCTGCCTCACAGTTTCTCTGTTGTTCACTTTTTTCCCAGTTTCACATGAGCTGAGCTCTTTGGAGCGCAGGACTTTCTGTGGCCTGGACCGAAGGTTTGGTGTCAGGGTGACTGCAGGGGACTCTGGTGATGTTCTGTCCTGTCCTGCTGCAGTGATGGCACAAACCAAACTGGGAATTCAACTCACACTTCCAGACTGGGGTGGTTTTTTTAGCCAAGATGAATTTGACAAGTCTGTTATTGTTGGTCTTGTCCAATATCGAGAAATACTTGGCAGCTGTTTCCAGCTACATCCTATCAGTAATCGTAAAACCAGACTGGTAACAATGGGAATAAAAATATGCTTCTTTTCCTAAGGAATGATTGATTTTTTCATGTATTTTCTTTTCCAGCAGACATATTCTATTTGTGTTCCAGCTGTTATTTGCATAACACTGCTGCTCTAAACCACTGAATCTACTTTGTTGTCACAACAGTCCTGTTTTAAATAAGTGTCACAACACATTGGATTTTAGCTGATAAACCAGCCATGAAACTGCTGCTATTTCACATTTTTATGAAGATCACTATGCTGCTAGTTAATGTGGTTTTTTTGAGACTGTGATTTAGGTGCTAACTTCTGAAGATAGATCATTTTAAGTTGGAATTTTGAAAGTGAACGCCGTAGTTGAGGAAACTTGAAATTCGCTGTTTTCTTGCTTTGTTCAAATTGCTTTTGAAAACTACTCAAATCCGTTCCTTGGTGCAAATTCCTGCAGTTAAAGAGGATTTTATTTCCTTGAACAGGTGAATTCCAAACAGGGAGGATCTCCATGCAGGGAGAAGCAGGTGGCTCTGCTCAGCCCCCTGGGCAGGATCGAGATCTCGGGGTGTGAATCGGGCGTACATGAAATCAAACTTCCCAAAACGAGCCTGCTGCCAAGTGGGTGAGTTCATGTCCTATTGATCCTGTGCTCGTGTTTGTGCTGCAGGAAGGAGATTGCCCAGAGGATCTGAGAGCGCTCTTGTTGTTGCTAATCCTACTGGGAGGAGTCCCTGGTGCCCTAAAGGGCTCCAAAATACATCAATTCCTCTGCTGCATCGAAATGTTATCAAACGTTTTAAACTCTTCAGTGTTTTTAATGTAAGTTTTGAAAGAATCTCCTGCCTCCCTTGATTTTTGGCACATATATAAATGTCACTGAGGGTAGAATCTCCTTGCACACCTCACAAATCTTGCAGACCTACATCTATTTTTATATTTTTATATTTTTATATTTTTATATTTTTAAATTTTTAAATTTTTAAATTTTTTATATTTTAATATTTTTTATTTTTATATATATTTTTATTTTTATATATTTTTATATTTTTACATTTTAATATTTTTAATTTTTTATATTTTATATTTTTACATCCCTGTTTTACCAGGACATCTGTTTTGCTCACCTCTAACATGTTCATGTTCTCTGGTTGAAGTTTCTCATGATCTTGTTCTTCAGCAGAAGATGGACAGTGTAGATTTTTTTTCCTAAATTTTAATTTTCACCTGTTCTAGATCATCACTTTTCTCAGTGGTGAGCTGATTTCACTTCATCTTGAGGCACTAGTGGCATCTTGGCAACTCTTAAGCTCACAGGCTGCATGATTTATGTGCAAAAAACGTTACATTAGAGGGTCTATCACTCAGGAATAACTCTGAAGCTAAGGGCAAGAAGAGTATTTTTATGTTTACTTCAAGAATTTAAATCTGAAGAAGAAAGGTGGGACTTCCTTTTGTCTTTAACACTGATAAAGTTCTAAAAATTTTAAAGCCATCTGTAAATGTTTGTGCTGAAGTATAACATTTAATCTCTTCTACTCATCGCTAGTGAATAGTTGTTAAATCTGGCCTCATTATTTTTGACAGAATAAAATAAAAACAAAGCAGTGCCTGGTGTTTCTCCTAACTGGCTAATAAACGCCATGGCAAGAACATTGGGTGGGAAAAAAAAAAAACATAAGAAACATAAAAATTGATTTTAATGGACCCCTGTCAGAAAGAACCATAATGAGCACGAGTCTGGTAATAAATATTGGTATTCTGCTCCACAGTGCTTGGGACTTCTCATGTGGAATTGCATGTAACAATCAATAGAGATTTTAGGGTTTTTTAACAACAAAAATAAGTAAACCTTTGAAATATATAAATACTTAAGACTTGCAATCTGTCAGACAAACCTAGTAGTTGTAGAAAAATCTGATAAGAGCCCCTGGTTAATGGCATAATCGCTTTGTGGAGATCTCGCTCTGTTTTACAGCTTGTAAAATGCTGTGCAATTAATCACCTGAGATTACAACCTCCTCACTGATGGCTCTCCTTAAAACTTAAGAACACAGACTATAATGGAGCCTAAAAGGAGAAGCAACAAAGTAAAACCCAGTTTCAGTATGCTTGAAAGAAATTGATCTATTAATGAGATGAAACTAATTGTAATAACCTGAGGTGATTCCGCTCCTCGGGAAGCTGCCGGGGTTTAAAAGTCCAGCCACGTCACGGGGGGATGGTTTCTTTTGGACAGGAGGCATCTTTATCCAGACTTCTGAAATCCATGATGTGCATAAATCCATGGTGTGCATCCCATTCCTGCAGCTGGGACAGCGGGAGGTGTCCCTGCCATGGCAGGGGTGGCACTGGGTGGGATTTGAGGGTCCCCCACCATTCTGGGATTCTGTGATGCCCTGACCCAAGCAGGTCCCTGAAGGTTTGACAATTGGACAATTCTATCTATTAATTTATTATTAATTAATTGTATCTATTGTATCTTAATCTGGACAATTGTATCTATTTCTAAGAATTTCAGCTTCTCAGTTCACATTTTAAAAAAAACCCTTAAATGTGTATAAGCTGCATGTATGTATTTATATATATGTGTGTGTGTGTGTATATAAGTATATATATATGTACATTATATATATCTATTATATTTTATATATATAATTTTATAGTATGTTAGTATATAGTATATAGTATATAGTATATACAGTGTATTAGTATATAAGTATATAGTATATAGTATATACAGTGTATTAGTATATAAGTATATTAGTATATAAGTATATTAGTATATAATATATGTATATTACATATTAGTATATATTATATTAGTATATAATACATGTATTTCATGCTATATCAGCTGTTGTAGTTTTTCTTTCAGTACGTGGCAATCTAGTGATTAGTTTTAACAATATTCCTCCAACATCCCAACCTGAAATATTGCAAATGTTTAACACGTCTTGCTCATGTCCAAAAAAAAAAAGTCCCTTTCCTTTACAGTTATTTTACTTCAGAGTATCTTCAGCAGCTTAGGAGTTCCAAAATTAGTTTTTTTGTTGTTTTGCTGTCATCTGTGGTGTTCCCACACCGGGATGACCTTGACTCATTGCAGAAGTGCAGCAGTAAATTATCCCCTTGGTGAGCAGGTAACACAAAGCATGGTTTTCCCTCTGCTGAATATTTATAGCACAAAATACTTTGGGAATGTGGGATGTGGACTTGGCATTGGGATGGCAGCAGGGAGCAGTTTCTCCCTGTGTTGCAAAAATCCAGGTTCTCTCAGGAATTCCCTTTTCCTCAGGAAAACCAGCCTGGTTTTGCCAGCTCCCTGCCTGGTCAGCGTGGGGCAGGGAAGTGCTGAGGAACTGGAGGATTTTAGTAAAAGGGATGTGGTAGAACATGTTTTGAGGAAAACTAAGCAGCTGTCAGTGTGTGGTTGGAAAATCCTGCTGCCCTCTGTGTTCTCTGCAGGTTATTTGCAGTTTTCCTTAGTGTTTCATTTCCATCCGTCCTACTGAGGGAGATCAGGGGAGGAGGAACCAGGAGCCAGTTTGGCCCTTCCCATATTATTAATCTGCCTCAACCTTTTAGGGTAAATATGCAGTTCAAGAAGTTCACCAGGGTTTCAGTCAGTCTCTCTCTGTCACTGTAACATGACCAGAAACTCCAGAATCTCACTTTAAGCAGGTTTCCAACTATTGGAGATGGAAGGAAAATCTCAGGTGTGTGCAAAGGCAGCGGATGCAGTGGGGCAGGGAGTCTGATAAGAGCCTGGAACAATAACTTGGAGAGGTGTGGACCACTCTGTTCATCTCTGAGGTATTTAATCATAGCCAGTGCTGATGGTTTAAATGTCAACTTTGCTAACTGTTTCATTCCTCATACTGTAAAATTTACTGGGAGTGATATCTCACTTTGATGCCACAAGTGGGAGGCATTTGGGAGAGTGCCACTCCTCCTATTTTTCCACTGAGCATCAGCCAAGGCTAAGAAACTTAGTGGAGCTCAGGGGCACAGTAAAAACCCACTGAAGGAGGTAGGGGTGGGAGTGCTCTGCTGCTTGGAGTGGATTCTGGGTTTACCATCAACTTCTGAGGATTCTATGAGTAGAGGATTATTGCCAGTGTGGCTTGGAAGAGGCTCCACTCCTCCTCGTTTGGTTCTTCTTTGATTATTGTGTAACAACAGAGATATTCTACTTAAAATGGTACAGGATAAAACCTGAATGAGCCCGAGGACGTATTTGGGGTAAAGAAATTAATGGGTGGGGATGAGCTCTAAATGGAGAGTGGGAACAGGGAAAGGAATGGGGCTGTGGAAGGGGTTGGAGAATTCCTGAGGGAGCTGGGAAGGGGCTGGGGAACTCCTGAGGGAGATGGGAAGGGGCTCAGCCTGGAGAAAAAGGGGATCAGGGGGACCTTGTGGCTCTGCACAGCTCCTGCCAGGAGGGGACAGCCAGGGGGGATTTGGGTTCATCCCAGGGAACAGGGACAGGAGGAGAGGGAACGGCCTCAGGCTGGGCAGGGCAGGCTCAGGGTGGAAATTAGGGAAAAAATCATGGACAGGATTGTAAAGCTTTGGAATAGGCTGCCCAGGGAGGTGTTGGAGTCACCATCCCTGGGTGGGTTCAAGCTTGAGGACATGGCTGGTGGTGCTGGTTGATGGTTGGGTTTGATGATCTTTGAGGTCTTCAACCTGAACAATTCCACGATTCCGTGTTAAAACAAATCCAGCAACAACTCCCACCCATTCTTTAGTTCTGAAGTGCCTTGTTCCCAAAACCTTCCAGGTGCTGTTTTGGCTCAGAGAGCACCTGGTTCATCCGGGTGATGCTTGTTCAAATCCAGGATTTTATCCTTTGAACCTCTCCCAATGCTAAAAACATTGGTTTTCATACTGATGAGCCAAGTGAGAGCCTGCTTGTGGTGCCTGTGTGGAGCAGTCACCAGAAGAGGATCCCTCTTACATAAATGTTCCTCTTTCAAAGAAAACCTTTCATTTCCAAATATCTTTTAACTTGTGGCACCAAGCTCTCACAAATTTCATTGAGTTTTGTGCCACTGGTCTTGGAAAGAAAACATGCAGATGCCTGGGTAATAGGGAGATGATGCTTGTTACTTCAAATCACTTCAAAATAACAGGAAAGTGTATTTTAAAAAATAGGAAAGAAAGGAAAAAAGAAATATTACCTTCTCCGGTAGAAGTCTCTACAAATATCCAGGCATCAATCTTTATTTCAGCAGATTCAATGGATGTGGCAGGAAGAGTTATTATATAGCATAGTCCTCCTTTTATTAAAAATAAACTGGGCTAGAGTTTTTCATAGTTTCTTGTGGAGATGCTACAGATTGTTTATGCTGCATCAAGCTAAGAAAACTTTTTATTGGAAGTGGTGTTTCCATAACATAAACAAAATAACTTTCTGCATGTTTTCAGAGTTCAGCCTGACATGTAGTACAGCTCAGAGATGTGGTTTCACATGGTTTTAGAAATGGTTTGTGGGCAAAGTTTTATTGTCAGGTCTGGCTGGTGAATTTAATTCTGCATGATTAGCAAAACCCACGTTCCTCTCGCACTGAAGCTGAAGTGAATCTTGAGCAGCTCCACTGTAATCAATACTAGACTTTA